AGTTTGCAATCACTGGTAGGCAGGATGTTCTACCATGTTTCCCTTAAAAAAATAAAAAAAGGGATCAGGACCCATCCATGTCTAAGAGTCTTTGTTTTTTTACAAAAGCAGTTTTGAAGATAAAAGTTGTTCTCTCACCCCACAGTTTTCCACACTCCTCCTGCCTTTCCTGGTGTAATAATTAGGCTGGGTCTGCTCAGAACAACATTTCTTATCCAAGGTTATTATCCATGAATAACAGACAGCAGAGGGTAAAGCACACAGATCACAAAGCGACACCTCTTCCTTTATTAGATACGGAGCAAGTGAGGAAACCCTCCCAGTCTTCCAGACTGACACTTATATCTTCAGGAGAGCCATTCCCATAAAACCGCCTCTGAGTCTCAGGCAAAGGGCTCAGCTATCGGCCAGGAAATATCAAAGCAAAGTCCACACATTCGAGTGATACAGTTTCCTGTTCCAGTCATCTCAGCCTTGCTGTTTTTAGAAGGAAAATCCACAAACTCAGATCTTATTCCTCAGCAATCCTGAGCAGATCTCCATTCTTGTAAGCTGCTTTCTGCATATCTTGCCAGGTAAGAAGATACCTGCTTTCCCATGCGTTCCCTGCCCTCCTTCTCCCTGGCTTAGCTGAAGGACTTTCAGATGAGCCACTCCAGCAAGGTCTCTTGACCAGGGACCCTCTCCTCCTTTTCGTTTCGTAACTAGCTTCTCCTGTGGGAAAAGTGGATACTTGACACTTGGCAGCGACGATTCTTCTACCCGGCCACTATCCCTTTCACCCATTCTCTTCACCATGTTAGCCCAAAGTCATTTAGTCACCAACTAATTAGGAAAAGTAGGACTAATTTTCTGAATTAGTTTCCAGATAATTAGGAGAATAACAGTAGCTGGCAATTCTTAGATTATCTGGTGAAAAGGCAATAGGATTGTGTATGTAAATAAATTTCTATCAGCTGGTCTATGACGTCTGATAGCTAAAGCACACCCCTCAAAACGGAAACTACACACAAAGGTCATGAAACCAAAAAACAGGGCCACAAAATTTGTAATGCCACCCCTTTGGGACCATTAGACATCTTCAGCCATGGACCCAAAGAAGGACCTTACCCAAGAGAAGTTCTGAACCCATCCACCCTTTGGACCCCACCTGCTTTCAAGGCAGTGGCACCAGCAGCCCCTCAGCCTTCCTGGACTTCCCGGCCCTCCTGGCGCAGCTGCTTTCCCTGGGCGCTGGGCAGCGTGTGGCCATGCTGCTGCAGGCCCCAGCGTAGCTCGCGGGGTTATGTGGCAGGTGAGGCATTCACAGCTTCACGAACAGGCTTCTTGACTGAGCAGTCACCCATTTCACTCACGGGAAAACACAAGAGAGCTAAGAGGAAAAAAAAAAAGAACCAGCAGGTGCCCCTTGGGGGATCCCCAGTTGCCTAGCAGTCTTTTTTCTTTCAGCACTGCCCCACGGAGGGGTGCAACTCTTCCTGCTCCCCAGCATTCATGCTCGCTCTTCCAGTCTGCTCTGGGCATCAGTCCCTTCCCTGGATGCCACTGTCCTTCCCCTTTAGAAATTGCTCACCAAGGGTTATGAGCAGCCTACGGCCAATCCCCTCCATTCCCTGGCAATGCTGCTCCTTTGGTTTTTACCCTTCTAGGACTATTTCAGTTTCTCAGGCATTCTCTATTTCCTGACTTAAAATGAACAGCTGAGGTTGCACGGAAATCTATATGGAGTTTGCAGAGTGAAACTGATGACCATTGCAGGGCTCCATGACCTGTCACAGCCAGGGCTCCCATCAGAGCCTGGGGCAGAGCCATGCAGGTCGCCTCACCTCACACTGCGCAAGGAAAGGTGCTCAGAGAACAGCCCTTGGGAGGCTAGTGGGTAATTTTGGTACCACCTCTGAGGAACATGAAGCTTTGTCCACATAATTAAGGAAACTATAGCACATGCAGTTTGATTCTGGTCCTAGTTCTCATGTTTGCCTATTTTATCTCTTCAAAAAATAATTATGTCAACATGTTCTATTCACCAGAATATTTGCTTCATTTTATCAAACCTGTTTTTCTTGTTGCAATAGCATGTGATCCATCACCTAACACAATTAATAATAAAAAAAAGTACCTGCAAGTGCACACATTCCAAGGGTGCAATAATATCACAAGTCATGAGAGCTTTGCTTTTCAAGAGAGTCTCATTTTATCAGAATGAGTGGGTATGGGTGCTTTTGGGTTAAAAATGAGCTGTATATTTTTTGTAGTGTATTTTGGATATGGGTTTTTGATTCCCTTGTCTGCACCTTTAGGGCAGGAGGGATGTTTCCTAGTGGCAACTGCTGCCTATAAACACATGGCTAAGCACAGCAGAGGCCAGTAGCACTGCTGCTAGAAAGCACCCATTCTGAAATCAAACATCCCCAGGATCATGTCAGGATGCGCGTGTTGACAGATGGAAGCGATTTGAGCTGCTATCCTAAAAACTTTATTCCTAAAATTCCCTTATTAGGCAACTCAAAGAGACTACAGCTCACTTGGTTAAAGATCCCCCTTTTGCTTTCCAATGTGATTTGGATCGAGCAATTTTGACTCAATCACGCTGCCTTCCAAGGCAAAGCTTTCCTGACTTGCGGCACTGCTGGATTTCCAAAATAACTCATCTCAAGGTGCCTTGCATAGCTGATGGATTAGCAGATAATATTTTTTTTTGATTTAATCCCTGCTGAATGCATTTGAGATAATATCTACATAATAATTTCAAGATCTAGCATTTACTGCTCATATTTATGAGGTCTTATTTAGGGCTATGTTTCAATCGCACGCATCACTTCAGTGTTTTTGTCTCCATTCCTTCCTGGCTGATGCATGCCAGGTATTTTTGCCTGCTTTTCCT